CTCTGTGCTGCCTTGGCTTTCTTGGAGACTTCTAGGGGCTTCTCCTGGGGGGCTCAGCTTTGCTTTTGGCAATGGCTCCTCTGTAGGAGCCAGAAAAGACTCAGGCTCAGCAGCCCCGCCCCTCACCCAGCACAAACAGAAAACTGTCTGTCTAGCAGGCCTACGATTCAGGCAGGCTGGGGACCGCGTGGGCTGAATTCTCAGCCAACACCAGATCAGGACAGCAAAGGCAGCCTGGTTGAGTCTTCTAGGTAGTGTCTTCTTTCCACTGCAGGACTGGGTCTGGAGTCTGAAAGTGTCCAGGGAGCAGGGTCAGATCTCTGCCAACAAGCCTGGAGAAGGCTGTTAGCAGAACTGGAATGGGGAGAGGTCCTGAATCCTCCACTCTGGGCTAGAAAATAAGAATCCAGCAAGGGTCCTGCTGGCAAAAGATCCAAAAGCGTCCCATGCAACCCTGGTCCCTTATCACAATTACATACATAAATGTCCTTGAGGTGTCATATCTGGAGCAGCAGCACTGGGAACTTGGTTGAAATGCAGACTCTCAGGCCCTGCTCCAGGCACCTGAATCAGAAACTGAGTGGGGCCCAGGAACTGGCATTTTAAAAGTCTTCCCAGTGATGCTGATAAATGCTGGTGTGAGGACTTCTGCTCTAGAGCAGAATTGGGAGCTGTTTAACACACCCGTGTCTCCTGCCACCCCTTAGCAGACCCCAGGAAATCACACAGGAATTCCTGATGGTTCATCCAGGTGTAGGTGATCCTCAAATCCCCTCAAGTGATTTTTGAAGTGCAGTGCAGGCTGAGAGTCACCTGACAGCAAGCACGTGGTAATCCATGTACCTGCCATGGGGGCTCTGAATGACTGACTGCATCTTCATTCGTCACTAGCCTTTTTCTTTTTTTTTTTTTTTAGGGGGGGGGAGAAAGGGTTGGTGGCACTGGGATTTGAACTCAGGGCCTTACGATTGCTAGGCAGGCACTCTTATTGCTTGAGCCACTCCACCAGCCCTATCTTCCTATTTTATAGATTAAAAAACTGATGCTGGAGGGTTAACTCAGGAGAGGTGAGGCCTCAGGACTTTGGAAGCAGGAAACAGGATAAGCTGGGTCAAAAAAGAAGCCCAGAGGTCATTCCAGTTAAGACTTGGTTCTGGCTCAGCGCTGGTGGCTCACGCCTATAATCCGAGCTACTCAAGAGGCAGAGATCAGGAGGATCAAGGTTGGAAGCCGGCCTAGGCAAATAGATCGTGAGACACTATCTTGGAAAAACTCATCACAAAAACAGAGTCGGTGGAGTGGTTTGAGGTGAAGCCCCGAGTTCAAACCCCAGTACTGCAGAAAAAAAAAGAAAAAAAAAAGACTTGGTTCTGTCTTCAAGGTTGTCCAATCCTTTCCCTCTCCAAAGCTCAACTCAAGGGCTCTGTGTGGTGGGCAGACTTCCTGCCTCTCACCTCCTACATGCCTGGCCTGTCTGTGGCAGTTGTCAGGGGCCGAGCCACAGCGGAGAGACAGGAGGCTCTCCCTCCAATTCCAGCTCTGCCAGCCCCAGCCAGGGCATAACCTTGCCAACCACCGTAGGGCCCAAGGTCAGGTTCAGGAGAAATCTCAGTTGATCCCCAGGACAGCCCATGATGTAAACACAGCTAGGTTAGTAGGAATTCCTGTTTTAGAAGTGGGAACCCTGAGGCCCAGAAGAGGACAGTGACTTGCAAGCGGCCCACAGCATCAAATGCCCAGAATCTTATAACTTGAGAATGTTTGTGTAGAAAGGCTGGCAAAGTGGCTTAAGTGGGAAAGCACCTGCACAGCAAGCATGAGGCCCTGAGTTCAAACCTCAGTACTGCCAAGAAAAAAAAAAACAACCTAGCCAGGCACCAGTGGCTCATACCTGTAATCCTAGCTACTCAGGAGGCAGAGGTCAGGAGGATCATGGTTCAAAGTCAGTCTAGGCAAATAGTTCGAAAGCCCCTTCTCAAAAAACCCATCAGGAATAAAGGGCTGGTGGAGTGGCTCAAGGTGTAATAGACCCTGAGTTCAAACCCCAGTACCCCAGAAAAACAAAACGAAACAAAAAAACTATAAAGAGAATCTTTGTGTGGAATTCTTTGCTTCCAGAACTTGCATTGTGTGTTGTTCATTCATTCAGTGGAACGTCCTCAAGGGCCTCTTCTGTGCCTGGGCAGGGGTCTCACAGGAAACAAGAGGGAGGATAAACAGTGATAAGGATCCATAGAAACCATTCTGTGCCACAAAAAGGGCCACAGGTGTGTTTGTGTCATAGCACCCTAAGTACTCCCAGATGAATGGCCTGAGGGAGACCAGACAATCCTCCCCAGAGATGAGGCCTGACCTGGACAGACAAGTGGCCAGATGGGCTAGTGAAGAGGTGAGGGAGGGTGCCAGGAGAACAAGAGGTGAGGGATGCTTGGCTGGAAGCCTTCAGAGTGCCTGGAACTCAGAGTAAGAAGTGAGGCTGGAGGCCCAATGAGCCCAGACCAGCCAGGATGACCTCTGCTCTGTACTTTGCTAGGACATGGTAGAATTACTGGGAGAGAAGAGGGCTGTGTTTTAGAAAGATTCTCCTGTCCGTTGTCCCCACATTGCTGCTTTAGGCATCCAAGTCCATGTCCTCAGCGTTTCCCACAGCAATAGGGAACTGGCTGGTACACTGCAACTCTTTGTATGTGAATTATTTTCATAGAAAAAAATTGTTTACAATGGTGGTGTACATTGTGTTTGCTGAAAGGAAGAGGAAGGAAGGAGAGACAAGAGCGAGAAGGGGAGGGAGAGGGAGAATGGAAGGGGTAAAAAGAAGGAAAAGAGAGAGAGAGAGAGAGAGAGAACCGGGAGAGCATAAGCTTGTGAGGGCCAGAGGGGGCAGAAAGGAAGGTAAGGAAGGGGCAGTTTGACCTCTGTTCCCAGGGGACTGAGGAGGCCTGGCCAAAGCCCTGGCCTTGGGGATGAAGGAGGCTGAGTCACTGAAAAGGTGTGCTGAGCACAGCAGAGTTGGATTGGCTGGAGGAGGTGGTGGGTTCTTGGGGAGGCAGGGAGGCCTGTTTAGGGTTCGAGGGGTCTGAGAAAGGGGTGTACAATGTAGAGGAGTGATCTGGACAGAAGGTACATTTGGGGATCAGTGGCACCTGGGAACCAGGGAGGGGGCACCCTGCCTTGGAATGGGAACAACATCAGGCTGGAAACCCCAGGAAATCCAGGAGCACTTGGGAAAGAGGTAGCTATAACTCAGGTCACCCCATCGAGCCCTGGCTGGCCATGCTAGAGAACCAGAGGGAAAATGTGAGGTTCTCAGGTTTCATGGTTCTCATTTCTCCCACTCTGCCTAGCAGGGTCTAGCCAGGCCCTGGCAAAGCATCAGAGGCCAACATGGGCACTGGCTCCAACCAGTAACCCAATGCCAGGCTGGTCTGAGTGGAAACCTAGGTTCCCCACCCCTACCAGGCCACTCTTCCCTTCTGGGTATGGGCCACTATCCAAGCTGTCTTCTCTACCTGAATGCCTCCTTCTAGGCAGTGCTAAGCAAAATCCCATCCATCCTCCAACGGCCTGCTTCATCGTTTTTGAAACCTCCCATCAAAGCAAAAGTCCCCTTCCTGCTGGCCTCTCTCTGAGCCTTAGTGCCCTTCCCTAGAACAAGCTCCCTCACAGGCCTCATCACCCAGGCCACACTGGAGGTGAGAGTCTGTCTCCCCAAACTTTGAGTCCCTTCAGGATAAAAAGCACACGTGGCTCAACCCACCTCATTTCAGAGCAAGGGAACAAAGCTTGGAGCAGGATTCAAATTCCTGGCTAAGCCCAAATGTCCAAGGAACTGAATGCTCCTGGTCTCTGTTCATTCTCCTAAAAAATGGGGCTAGCAATCCACCTCATTGAGATGGTCAAGTGGAATAACTGACACAGAGAGGGCCCTGACTACAATGTCTGGTACACAGGAGATGCTCCTTAAATGTGGTTCCCCTCTTCCTTCCCAGAGCCTCATAGGAGCTGGGAAATCTGTGTGATTGACAACTTGGGCTTCCAGGAGGAGGAGGGTCCTTTTTAATCCCGTGCCCACAGCAGAGGACCCACACTTCAAGCCCCCTTTCCTTCATACCAACACAAGTATTCATGAAGGTGACAGGTGTCTAGTGTGTTCCTTTCTCCTAGGAACGCAGATTTGACAACACAATCCTGTTCCCTCTGCCTGGGGGAGGGGTGGTGGCATTAGAGTTGGGTCTTGAAGGATGGGGAGAGATCACCTGGGTGGGGGAGCATCCCAGGGAGGGAGAGAGAGAGGAAAGAGCTGGCCATTGGGGGATAGGATGGGGGTAGGTGGCTGTAGGACAAGGGGCAGACAAGGGACCTAGGGAGACTGGGGGCTGCAGAGGTGACCTGTGCAGTTGGAAAGAGCTCTGGGTCAGCCAGGCAGTTGGATTTCTGTCCTGCAACCACAGAAAAGTTTTTACATGGGTGGGAGGGCACTGGGACCCACGAACTGGCTTTGCAACCTAAAAGGGACTGAGGGGTGGCTGCTGGGGGCACGGAGGGAGTTGGGAGAAGGGGCCGTGTAAGAATGGCACCGGGCTTACCTTCTTGCTCCAGTTACTTCATGTTGGGGCTAGAGGGAGAGACCCCAACAGATAAGCAGACACCCAAACTTAAGACAGTATTTGGAGGCTGATGCATCCCCACTCCCAGCCCTTCCTGGGATGGGGGCTGAGGTTTGTTCCAGGTGGGCTGGAGGGTGGGGAGGGGCGGGCAGCAAGAAGGCTGGATGGGGGAAGAGAGGAAGATGGGGCAGGGAGGTGCGCCGGGCAGAATCTTTCACTGGAAGGCTCTCATTCCCCAGATGTGGAAACTGAGGCTGGGCGAGGGAAAAAGTAAGTCACCGGCCCAAGGTCACGATGCGCGCCAAAGGCAGGGGCAGGGTTTGAACCCGGGCAAGCTAGCTTTCACGAGGCCTCGGAAAAGGACGAAGGGCGGCCGTGGCGCGCCGGGCTCACCTGGTAGTTGTCCAGCTGCTCCTCGGTGAAGATGGTCTGCTTGTTCCCCATGGTGACCGCAGCGCGGTGGCTCGCCCGCCGGGGCGCCGCCTCCCATCAGCGGCACGGGAGCCCGGAGCCCCGCGCCCCGCGCCCGCGGCCCTCGCCAGCCCCGCGGCGGGCAGCGTCCCCGGAGGCCGCCCCGCCCCGCCCCACCTCGCCGCTGGCACGGAGGGGGCGGAGCCAGGACGGGACCCGCGCGGCTGCGGCTCCGCCCCCAGTTGGAGAAGCGGGGTTCGGGCGGGGGGCGCCGGCTCCGCCATCTGCGCGCGACCAGCCAGAGGGCAGCGCAGCCGCGAGAGCCAGCACTTCCGGCCCGATGGGTCCGGGTTGCGCAGGGTGAGGGTGCAGCGGAGCCAAGTGGCACGATCTTGCCACCCGTGACGCGGGGCGGGGACCTGGCTGGGCCTTGCACTTGACCTTTGGCGAGCCGCTCCTTCCCCTGGGCCGCGGCCCTCGGCAGCGGAGGGGATCTTCGGTGGAGCTGACCTCTAAAGCCCTCTCCAGCCAGGCCCCGGGAAGCCCATCTTGCCTTTGACCATAGTTTGGGTAGGGCATCTCAGGTCCTCTGGTTCCTCAGGGAGGGAGACAGGATTTGCTTGGCCTTCTCTGACACTTGAGAGGATTTCAAGAATTTATTGTGTCCAGAGAAGTGTGACAAAGGCCAGGACGTTTTCTCGGGAGGGGGGGGGGCGGTGTTAAACAAATACTATTGTGAGGGATACAAAGTTTTTAATTCTACTGTCTTAGGGCCTCAGGCTGGGCCTGAGAATTTATTTGACATACAACAGATTGGTGGCAGAAAAACATACAGATTTGTTTAATGTAAGATTTCCAGGACACAGCTGGACGCCCACAGCACCTGCTGTAATCCTAGCTAGGCTGAGATAGGGAGGATGGTGGTTCAAGGATAGCCCGGGTGAAATAGTTTGTGAGACCCCCATCTCCAAACTAACCAAAGCAAAATGGACTGGAGGTGTGGCTTAAGCAGTACAGTGCCTGCTTTGCAAGTGTGAACCCCTGAGTTCAAACCCCAGTGGTGCCTCCAAAAAAAAAAAAAAAAAAGGATTGCTTTAAAAGATGTGGTTTGTGGTTGATAAAATTGAAGGTAGATAGGTTTGATAGAAGCAAGGTACCTGGTAAGCGCTTTCTTTTATACAATATGCATTACATCAAGACCTTTAACACATAGTGGTCAATAAAAACCTTTGACAGTTCTGTTCATATTTGGTACCATTCAGAAAAAAGATCAAAATATAATTTGGGGGTAGTCCTGTTATTTCAAATCTGGTCTGCATCTATTTGTTTTGACTAAATAAGCATTAGTATACTGCCTAGCAAGTGTGAAGCCTTGAGTTAAAACCCTAGGACTACCCCCAAAAAATCCAAACAAGCATTATTATATATATGTGTATATGAGATGCACTTTGCACATCAGGTAAGCAGTCTTCTTGTGGTTGTTAACACTTTTTCCTAAACTTGTGAGTTACTCTTGGCTTAGGAGAACACTTAACCAACCTGGTGTCCTCCAAAGTAAAACTCTTAGTAATGATAGCCTTTTTCAGGCTGATATTTGTGTGTGCCTGATTGTATCATGACCATCATATTTGAATGAACATAATTAGACATGCCTAAATGCAACACACCCAGGCAGTACCACTCTGATAATTGGAAGGATTGGATATTAGTCACCTGGGGAATACATCTGTAAACTAGTACAAATTTAAATAGGGGCTTACTTATATCATTTAATATTTTATAAATGGACAAAGGTAACCTATTATCAATAAATTATGGGATGGAAATTTGAATGAATTTTAAAGACACAATGAAAACTTGATTGATCTTCATGGCACTGTTGAAACAAAAATTTTGCAGGGCTGTCTTAATGTTTTTGTTTAATTCATGTTTTGAAAGAGTCAAAATTGTGAACTGGAGGCATGGCTCAAGTGGTAGAGTACCTGCTTTGCAAGCATGAATCCCTGAGTTCAAACTCCAGTCCCACAAAAAAAAAAAGTTAAAATTGGAACCCACTACTCCTACTTCTGTGGCAGGAAGGCAAGGAGGGGGAAGAGAGTTTAATGAGTGCTACAAGAAAACCAGACTTGGGGAATGTTCCTTGGAGACCAGACTAAAACAGCCAATGAAATAACATGTGATTATGTTGGGACAAGCTGTTCCACCCTCCACCCCCACTTCTGTAACCTGCTCTAAATGGTATATAAGGAAAGCCCCCTTTGTTCTCGGTGCTCAGCCTTTGGACATGAGTCCGCTGAGTTGGTGCCAGCTTGCTTAATAACCTCGTTTCCTGAAAGCTTTGGTGTCCCAACACTGCAAGACTCATGAAACTTTCCTTCTGTATGTTCAACAACCAAGATTTGGAGACCAAAGTCAAGAAAGAAGAGGACTAAGAAGATAGCCAAGCTGGGCTCCAGTGGCTCACACCTGTAATCCTAGCTACTCAGGAGGCAGAAATCAGGAGGATCACGTTTGAAGCCAGCCCGGGTAAATAGTTTGTGAGATCATACCTTGAAAAAAAAGTCATCACAAAAAAGGACTGGTAGAGTGGCTCAAGGTGTAGGCACTGAGTTCAAGCCCCAGTACCCAAAAAAAGAAGATAGCCAATATTTTGGCCATTGCCCTCCAAGGTCAGCAAGAACCCAGGAGGTAATAGGACTCCTCTAAAAGGGCCCTGCAGCTTGATCAGAGACTTCAAGGACTCCAGTGGTCAGACGCTAACCAGTCCATTCTGCAGAGAGCAGGGCCATTAAAAGACAGGAAGAATACCCCAGTGTTTCCAAGGGAAACCACATGGTCAGTGAGACTTTGACCCATCCAAGCAGATGGCACAATTAGTAGAGGGGAAAAGGACCAAAGAACCTCAACTGACCTTAAGAGTAGATGGGAAAGAGGTTAAACTATGGCCATCTACTCTGTCTTGAGCACCCAGCAGGAATATACAGCAAAAAGTAATCATTAATAATACTAAGGATTTTTTGTTGCTGTTTTTTATTTATTTATTGGTGGGGCTTGAACTCAGGGCCTTATACTTGCTAGGCAGGCACTACCACTTGAGCCACTTGCCAGTCCTGTTTTGTGTTGGGTATTTTCAAGATAGGGTCTCGTGAACGATTTGCCCAGACTGGCTTCCGTGATCCTCCTGATCTCTGCCTCCTGAGTATCTAAGATTACAGGAGAAAGCCACTGGTGCCTGGCAATAATACTGAGTGCTTATATTCTCCTCTACTTCTGGGAACAAGCATCTGACTCCTTTTACTTACATACTTCAGGTGCCCTTGATGGAATATATGCATGAACCCAGAAATAGCCAGCCAGATGACATAGCACCCCAAATCCCTCAAGAATGAGGACTGGACAAAAGCAAGAGGGCAGGTGTAGCAGGGATTTATTTGAAACTGTTCCTTGCTCCTCCTCCTTTTCATTTGCCTCTGCCCCTTGCCCCCTAATCCTTTTTTTGCTGAAGAGAGGTCCTTCTTTAGGTTTCAGTTACCTCCAGAGGAACACACTCTGTGCTCCTTTTCAGATCCTGCCTGGACTTACACATACCTCTTCATGTCAAGACTTTCTATTCCCAGAATCCTCAGCTCTGCCCTACTCAGCAGGGAGCAATCAGAACAGGGGCTCTGTCAGCCCCACATGCCACAGAAATGGAATGAAGGATTGATGGTGGGGAAGGAAGCAGTGCAAGTGGAAACCATATCTATACTGTAAATGTGAAAGTACAGAAAAATGTCCAGTACAAAAAACTCAATAAAAGCTGAGGATATGGCTTAGTGCTAGAGTGCCTGCTGAGCATGCTTGGGGCCAGGAGTTCAATCCTCAGCACCACCAAAAATACCCCAAAACTTATTAAGTTGGTTATTTTGGAAGAGGAGAGTTGGGATTGATATAGGGTAGTCAGGTAGAAAGGGACTAACCCAAGGGAGCCAGGGAACAAGTGCAGCCACATAGCCAAGTACATTTTGTCAAACATTCTACTCCACCATTGTCCTAGAGTAACGGTTGACTATGATGGTGGAAGCTACTTCTTAGTACAGTGGCCATCAGCCCTCACCAACAATCTCATCAGAGACTTTCCCAACTCTAGAGGCCAGCCAGAGAGCTCATTAAAGTTGTGTTTTATGCATGCTCCTCCCCTCAAATTCCTATCTTGGCTCTCAGGACACCTTATTAGGTTAACCACTCCCTGCTCCCTAGATCTTAGAAAAGCCCTCCCATTTCTTGGAAAGCTCCACAATTATGTGCCTATCCTTAGCATAATCATTAAGCCCTGTTTATAAAATTACCTAAAACTGAGGGCTCCATGCATTTGATTGTTTGGTCAAGCAGCCTGCCCTCAGTTTCCTTAGGACGTAGACTATTACTTTATAGTCAATTCTGCTTTAATAAAATCATGTTTTGCCTGACACTGGTGGCTCATGCCTGTAATCCTAGGAGGCAGAGATAAGGAGGATCGAGGTTCGAAGCCAGCTCAGGCAAATAGTTTGTGAGTCTCTATCTCGAAAATAACCAACACAAAGCCTGGCGGCATGGCTCAAGTGGTAGAGCATCTGCCTAGCAAGTGTGAGGCCCTGAGTTCAAACCCCAGTACTGACAAAAAAAAAAAAAAGTGAGTGCTTTGGGAGTGTGCACTCCAGAGTTTCTGATTTAGTATGTCTGGAGTGGTTGAGAATATGGGGATCCAAAGAATTCCAGTTGTTTGCTCTGGCCACTGGTCCTGGACCACACATTGGGAAGAGCCACTGTTTGGGCTGAAGGTTGTGGGTGGTCATGGGATCACCCCTACAAGATGATGACAGACCCAACTGACAATGGGGTTTTTAAATCAAAATTGCCATCGTGTCTGAGAAACACCTTCTCTAAAAGCCAAAATGAATGTAAGGTTGCTTAAGCTTTGTAGGTTTGTCCTAGGATGGAATTGTTTGAGCGGTGGGAGAAGCATTTCTCCCGTAGGGGACACGGGAAATGTTAGATTCCAATCTGTGAGGCTGTTGCAATGGGTGTGAAAGATTTCACAGAAAAATAGGAGTTGAGGCAGAAGTCAGTTTTACTCACTTTCCAAGGTTAGGACTGGGGTTTATAAGCATAGAGGGAATGTTCTGCTCACATCTCATTTGTTGGTTCAGCTAGCTGTTCCAGGAAGCAGTTGGGGAGGTCAGTTTCTCAATGTTTTGCTAAGGTGGTTGTTAGCTTGTACAATGATTTCTATGTCATAATATGGTCAGAAAATGCTGTCAACAAGATGCAAGTGGGGTTCCACTTGAGTTTCAGAAGAACAGTTTCTGCAAAACAAAGTAAAACAGC